CTCCGGGCCCCGCAAGGACGGCCCAAGGGCGCTCACGTCCCTCGGCGAAGGAGACCCGCCGCGGCCATGGCCTCCTCCAAACCCCTGTCCCGCTTCTGGGAGTGGGGCAAGAACATCGTCTGCGTGGGGCGCAACTACACGGAGCACGCCAAGGAGATGGGGAACGTGGTGCTGCAGGAGCCCCTCTTCTTCCTCAAGCCTTCCTCGGCCTACGTGCGTGAAGGCTCGCCCATCCTCCGGCCCTACTACTGCAACAAGCTGCACCACGAAGTGGAGCTGGGGGTGGTGATCGGGAAGAGAGCCCAGGCCGTGTCCCAGGAGGCCGCCATGGAGCACGTGGCAGGCTATGCCCTCTGCTTGGACATGACGGCCAGGGACGTCCAGGAGGAGTGCAAAAAGAAGGGTCTGCCCTGGACCTTGGCCAAGGGCTTCCGTTCGTCGTGCCCGGTAAGCGACTTTGTGCCCAAGGAGAAGATCCCGGACCCTCACAAGCTGAAGATCTGGCTCAAGGTGAATGGAAAGCTGAGGCAGGAGGGGGAGACATCCTCGATGATCTTCTCCATCCCTTACCTGATCAGCTACATCTCTGAAATAGTCGCCCTGGAAGAAGGGGACTTGATTCTGACGGGGTCTCCCGAAGGAGTTGGGTCTGTGCAGGCCAACGATGAGATAGAGGCTGGGATAACTGACATCCTCTCCATGCGGTTTAAGGTGGCACAGCAAATACGTGGATCCTAACCGGGAGCTGGGCTGGGCCCCTGTCTGCGTCGGAAGAGGCTTTTTTGGGAACATCTGGCAAACGAAGAAACACACAAGCTGTCCTGTCCGTTAAAACCACTTACATGGTCCAAGTGTCTAATGGACCATCAGCCAAAGACACGTAACGCATGAGCTCGAACGAAGTTCAGCTACAATAGCCTCCTTGCCGTGGAGACTTCAGCCTCCTCTGAGACCATGAACTTGGAGTCCAACCTGGGCAGGCAGTTAATACCTAAACCATACCTTGGGACTGGCAGTGGGGAAGCGTGTGGGACAGCTGGGGATGGGAGCTGGGCTGGCTGTCCCTGTGTGCGCTCTTCGGTTCCAGTGATGCTTTGAGCTTTGCCAATGTATTGCCTTAAAATAAAAATTGCAAATTAAACTATTAAAACGATGATTTAGGAGATCAAAGTTCACCCATGCTATGTAAAATCAAAGATGTACGTGTAACAGTAAATCAAGAATTGCAGCTTGAGAAATAATTTCTCCCCTTGGGATATTCTTGGGGTATTCTCCAATAAAAAGATGTTTGCTTTTTAGATTAGTTTCATGATTCCTCCGTGCGTTTTTCAAGTGTACAAATTAAATGAGGATTGCTTTCCCTCCCGCTCCGAGGGGTGCAATGCAGCAGGAAGTGTGCCAGATGCTTGGCAGATATTTTTCCTAAACTGAACTTTAAATCATAGATGTGCTGCTAAAAGTAAAATAATAGAAAATATCAAGAACAAAGCAGCTCGTTGGTAAAGATCACAAATAAACTTGTCTTTACTTTTACTGATTTAAATATATTTTTAATAAAAATCTAACTGCAACAATTACCATTACTTGCACAATGCAGTGCAGCAGCTGGAGCTTTTAAACCTTTCCAGCTGTTAAAGAGCCATGCCGTGTGACTTTTCCCTTTTCCAAACTCCAGCTGCTCTAACAATCTCTACCAGTTCGCATGACAGCCAGTTCTCTTTCAATTCAATGGAGTGACAAAGTTGTAAAATATAATTCAAAAAACTCCCCTGCAAACATCAAAACTTATCATTTTCAAAGGTTGCACAGAACTGACTTAATTTCAGACAAAACCAGATGGATTATTTTTTTACATACACGCAAGCACCAAAAGTAAATGCTTCCATTCATTTGAGCCAGATCCTAATAACCACTTTGGTTTTAAAAGTGCATTTGGGGAGTCCTGCAGAGAAAATTAACCGTAGCCCGAAGACGAGCACCTCTGTGGAAAGAGCAGCGTGGTCCAGGATGCCACAGATCACCTGGCAAAAAGCAAGCAGAGCATGTTGCAGAAGAAAAATAAAAATTTTTCTGTCAACTTAATCTCTGGCTGCATGCATCCGTGTACACCGCTGTGCACCGACCCTGCAGACACACAGACATTCGGCTTCGTGGCATTTTGACTCAGGCCAATGGCTTAAAGCCATTAAAAGTGGTGGGTATGACGAGCCCTAGATGCTGCAGACATAATTCAGGTTTCCATCAACTGAAACAAACATTCGGCCGTTACCTCTGAGCAGAACCATCCCCGGGCTCGTAGAAGCCGAAACGCTCCATGACTGGAGCCTGCCCCTGCCAGCGGGGAAGCCGTGCTCCGAATTCCTTGCAACTCGGTGAGCTGGGCCAAGCGAAGTCAGGCCAGCAGAGCTGAGCTGAGCAGGGAAATCAGGGTGAATAGTTCTGAAAGAGGAAGGATTAAATTCACTTTCTCTACCGTTTCTGTTTTCTTCGTGCCTGTAAAACACTACCATCCATGGCGACAGCAACAACGCTACAACATTTTGCAGTTTGGTCTTAAGCACCACGTATTGATTGCTGAGCTGAGTTGTGATTAAAATTAATGGAAACATTAATGGAAGTTAATGGAAACATTCACTTCCACATTTTCCAGCCATCACAGCTAATATTCTGATGTTCTTTACTGCTGCAACAGGAGAGACGCAGCAACCCAACACTGGCAACGTTTTTTGGTTCATTTATTCCCTTCTTCCCACTCACGTGAGTAGGGGGATGAAATCCTGGAGTGTTGCTTGTCAAAATTCAGTGTTTCCGTGGTGGTTTTCTCTCTGCCATGTTGCTTTAACGGTGCACCGGGGGTGATCCAAGTTCCTCAAGGCATTCTTAGCCTGACAGATACTTTGCAAGAGAAGGGCAGTGGTGTCTCACCGCCATTTGAAATATGCTCAGAAGATGAGGGCTGGTGAATGTAGCAAGGACATCAGCTGCAGGGAAAGATACAGATGAAAGGACAGAAATAGATTAAAAAAATAGGAAAAAATACAGAGTGAAGGGCAAAACGTACATACCTGGGATCTTTATGTTCAGCTAACAACAGCTGTCTTGGTGAGGAAGAGTCCTTTCTTCTCTGCCACTTTCAGCCTTAACTTGCTTGGTTGGTTGTCAGAGGTCCCTGGTAATGGTTTACTCCGTTCTAGTAAGACTTAGTCTGCGTAAAGCAAAGCAAACTTGCAAACATCATGGATATTTCTAAGCCACTGCAGTTGCCAGAAGTTCCGTGTTTGGATTCACCAACGTACACCACAAACTCAGGCAGTATTTCAAAGTGGGTCTTTATTTTTTGAACTACCACAAAAGTAGAAGGAAAGTAGCGCAGCAGTTAAAAACACATTAGCTCAACAGATCTGTCTTGTACTATTTGTTACTTCTGATTTTTTAAAATGTCTTCTAAACTGAGAGAAGAAAGCTTCTGTCCCCCTAAGGCGGGTAGAACCAGCTTTTCTTAAGCTGAGGCCCCAGTACACTTTTTAAAGTACAATCACCTGAGAAAGATGGACACAGGAGCCCACTTACAGGGATTAGAAATGCATACTCCTTCTTTCCTATCAGATCATACTTAGCAAAACACGACGACAACAGCATTCTACCTCTAACAATACAGTGAAGAAACAGCCTTTTTCCCAGCTGTTATCAAGCCATATAGTGTAATCTCTTATTTCCAATGTCTTTTTCCCAGCAAGCTCTGACTGGCCTCTATAGGGTCTGCCAGTTTGCATGAAAGAACATTCACTTTCAGTCTGGTTCTCCAACTAGGCGGCGAAGTAACCTGTAAAAATAATTAAGGGTCTTTGTTTTGACTGCTGTAAAAGCAGCACTTTGAAATATATTATTTTTAAATATTACACAACATGTTTAATTGACAGATTTGGTTATACATATTTTACATTATTTTATACATGGGTATGCACATTTTATGCTTTATACCTGTCACCACGGAAGTAAAACACACTCATTTTTTCCTAGAAACAGAGGTGGGGGGGGGGAACTGGGAGAGTAAGAACAGTTTTGCTAAGAAGGGCAAGTTTAAAAAAGGGAGTCAGTTTAGAGTTGTCCTAGAACAGGCAGCTCTACGAAAAATGAATGCGGCCCAGTATACAACATGCAATTAAAAAAAGTCAAGAATATTGCAAGTAATAGCAGAAAAGGGAGTCAGTTTAGAGTTGTCCTAGAACGGGCAGCTCTATGAAAAATGAATGTGGCCCAGTATACAACATGCAATTAAAAAAAGAATGTTGCAAGTAATAGCAGATCTTCCAACAATTGCTCCAGGTGTGTGAATCTAATATTGTGAGAATTGCAGATTTTAGACACACCTAATCACATTATTGCCAAAAATACAGGTGACTTAGAAATATGCTTAGGTAACCCTATACACATATGTTGACCAGGTATTATTTTTGCAAAGCAAAGTGTTGACTTTATTCATTATAGACCCACAGCCTTAGAAGTCAGTGAGTAAATTATGTGTAGGTGCTTTGGCAATATCAGTGCCTTCATCGGTATGGGCTCAGGGCAGTTTGTGTCTTCCACAGTTTGCCTGAGAGAGGCCTGTGTGTCTGATCCTGCAGGTACATCCCCTAACGCTGAAATTATGACAAAGACCGTTTACCTGCAATATTCAGAACACGTACAAAAACTAATCCTTGTTTTAAAAAGTTCGGTGGCACTGACATGGGATTTTTCAGTACTAAATACACTAGTGAATGGAAAACAGCCACTGTTTTAAATTAACATTGGATACTAACTTTAAAGTAAATCTTGCTTCGTTCCAAAAGAAGTTGCCATTTCAATGCAGTCCTCTTGTTTTCCGACAGTCTGAGGAACTCATGGACCTGTTAATAACAGGACAGAACGGAACACTTCTTCAGCATACAGTTACAATGACATCTCCACAACAAAATGATGATGAAAAGACCATTCTGTGCATTTTTTTATACATTTTCATAGAATCATAGAATCACAGAATGGTTTGAGTTGGAAGGGACCTCAAAGATGATCTAGTTCCAACTCCCCTGCCATGGGCAGGGACACCCTCCACTACACCAGGTTGCTCAAAGCCTCATCCAACCTGGCCTTGAACACTTCCAGGGATGGGGCAGCCACAGCTTCTCTGGGCAACCTGCTCTAAGCTGTATTTTCCCTCTTTTAAAATATAGTGTTTGGTGTAATATATGTACCGAGACAGTCAGATTAATCAGAATAAATTGTGAGGTGTTTGAGAATCAAAATTAGGGAATTCCAGCCGTGTTCTCAGAAAAGCAAGTTAATTCTCAGAAATAGAAGTTAAAGCAGTATTCTGAATAGGGTATTCACTCTTACATTTAACACATTTCTTCTGATTAGCAGCTACTGACTTCTAAATCCGACTTGTTAAAAAGCCAAGAGAGTGTGTGTGCGCGTGTATCCGTATCCGGACACAATTTTTTTAACCAGTGTACACACATTTGCACACATGTATGAAGAACATTTGCGTATATTTGTAATTCCCATCAAGCTCCACAGCTGAGATCAAATAACAACAACCTCATTCGTTTCTACTCACTGTGCAGCCTAACGTGTCCTCAGCTACGCAGTCAGACAGGTAACAAGAACGAAGAGTGCCCGTGTGATCTGTCAGATCAACGAGCGTGTCAAAGCTTGCAAAAGTTGACTTGGAATCTGAGGAGATGTCACGGCAGAAAGTGCATGTGTTTGACGTTTCATTCACCACCAAATAGCATATTGAACT